TCATTAATTTATTTATTTTTTTGTACTTAAATTTGTTTTTTTTTTTCAAGTATATTTTTTGATTTCTTTTTTAACACATTATTTCATGAAATTCGACTCATTTGTCTTTCATCTTCTTTTCTCATTTCACATAATTTTTTTTTTTTTTAAATTTATGCTTTTATTTCAAATGTATTTTTTTCAAATTATAATTTTTTTACTCCTCAGTATTTCAATTATTTATGTTACTTGTCCCTATCAAAAAATATCGGTTTTCAGTTTTGCCAACTTTTGATTTTCAAAAAGCACCAAAAACTTGGAAAATAGCGTTTAACCACACTAAAAGCACCAAATGGTTTTGAATCAATAGATGCTTTTTTCATAACAGTTTATATGTATTTAACAAAAACAAAAAATTAACAATATTTACAAGAATGCATACATAAATCAATAAACAAAACTTTTTCGCTCATAACGATTGAAAAGCCACATGCTATAATGACTCATGCTTACGACGTAATACCGAAGTACTGCGCATTAAAACTGATATATCTCAAGAAAGAAAAATCGAATCCCGACAAACGCAAATCATGCCCTAAGTAGAAATGAGCAAAAAAAATTATGTTTTCATTATATAACCTCAAATATCGCCGAAAACCGTGATTTTGGCACTTTGAGGTTAGGATATCTCAAAATTCTAGTGCTTGAGCAATTGGATTCAGCACCAAGAAACGATGTGTTTTACTCAGGTGGTACAAAAAAAAAAAAATTTACAAATAATTAGAAAAGAAAAAAAGAAATACTTAACTTACCCGCATATCTACTAGTATTTTCAAGGCGAATAGAATTGAACAAGGAGGGTTTGCAAGTTCAGCTTTTTATCAATCATGGTTGTATTTAAGTGCATTTAAATTTGTAGATTTTTGTAAATTCAGTGCTGCCACAGCTTTAAATATTTAAAAATTTTTTCAGGTCTTAACCAAATCGGAGTAATTTTAGTTCAGAAATAAAGCACTAAAAAAGACACTAGGCACTAAATAATTTTTTTAGGCGTTTTAATTTTCTAAAAGCACTAAATCTAGTGCTTAAAGCACCAAGTTGGCAACTAAATATGTCGGTTTTAGAAGAAAAATTGTGGGGGCCAAAATTGTAGGAAATTTGATTTTCTTCAAGTCTGACCTTGCTTATTTATGCCGTAGATTTGAAAATGAACGAGATATAATGCAATATTTTGAGATTACCGCTTGCTTCAAGTTTGTTTCGAAAACAATCAATTTTAGAAGAAAAACAAGTAAGAAAGTCTAAGTTCGGGCGGAGCCGAACATTAAATACCCGGCGCAAGTATTAAATATATATTTTTTTTTCACCTTTCCGAAAGCTTCCGCTAGATGGTAAGCCGGGGTGTATCAATTTTGAGTAAATTAGCGTCCTTCAATTTCGAAATATTGAAGTTTCAAGCATTTCTGAAATTTACCGTTATATGAGAAGCGGCCGTAATTTTAGTCCGATTTCAATAATTTTCAACGTTTTGCTTATATGTGGCAAGCACAATAACCACACCGTACACGGTACAAATTGGTAGAACGGTTACCGATATATGTACATATATGTGATCATAAGTGGGCGGCGCCACGCCCATTTTCCAAAATTTTACCATTAACGTATTTCTTGGTAAAGAATTGTTGCAAGCGTCAATTTTGAATAAATTAGCTTCAATATTTATTGATTTATCGAAGATTTTGTATTTCTCTAAATTACCGTTATATGGGATGTGGGCGTGGTTATCGTCCGATTTTAAAAATTTTCGGCGATATTTTATGCTGTACCAAGGCCAACAACTGTGCCAAGTTTGGAAGAAATTAGTGCAGCGGTTACTGAGATATACACATGTAACCATAAGTGGGCGTGGCTACGCCCATTTTCCAAAAATTTATAATATTCTTATTTTTCGTCTAAAAGTTATTGCAAATATCAATTTTGAGTGAATTATCTTCAGTAGTTACTAAAATATCGCAGTTTTCGTATTTCTGGAAATTACCGTTATATGGGAAGTGGGCGTGGTTAAAGTCCGATTTCGCCCATTT